CCAGTAGAGCATATTCCTATCAAATCTGTCATTATCTTGAATCCCTCTGGCCCCACACTGGGTGCCAAAAAGCACATTTGTTGGTTAATCTGAGCAGGTAGCTTAGCCCCACACATCCTCTCACACTCTGCTGTAGGAAGGGGGGAAGAACAGGAAGGGTAAAGTGAGAAAAAAAAAGTGACTTCACAAAAAGACAGTTAATAGATAAAGCGAACAAACAAAGCAAAATCCGGAGCTCATCATTACTTCTCATCAGCAGGGGGGTGTTCAGCCACTTCCATGTCCACCGCATGTAATAGTTACTTAGGAAGGCAAACACCATCATTCCTTTCTTTTCCGCCTCCAAAGTTTTATTGCTGAGCACTGTTTCATATGATGTGAGATATCCCTTTGGTCAGCTAGGGTCAGAACTCCCAGGTGTAACCCCTCCCAACTTCTTGTGCACCCCCAGGCTATTCAGAGAGAAGGCTTTGAGGCTGTTTAAGCACTGCTCAGTAATAGCTAAAATGAACAGGATGTGATCTCATACACTCAATTTTGCTACTTTTACACAATCATTGCTCTAATTTCACATACTTTACTACCCACGTGATGAATTTCTATGACATTTCTCACCAATAAAATAAGATTATAAAACTTAATAAACACTAACCAAGAACCTAAACTTTTCTATTTAAAGATCAAGGGCCTCACACATTCAAAAATACTTCTTTTCGTCCCAGCAAAAGAAAATTCACATTAAAAAAAAAGCAATCAATATGATCGATACTTAAGAGTAAAGAAAACAACAGGGAAGAAGGAAATAATTATCTATTATCCTTTCTGTTTTCAGTTACTAAATCATAAATTTAAGTGACCACTGCATACAGACTGATACTACACAAAGGCAGGGCTAGGGTACAAACAAACCCACACCCCTATAGTTAAATTGCAGTCCTCTATTCATCTGGCACTTTCAAAAACTGGAAGATACTTTCAAAGAACTCAGGCAGGACATTTCTGACATATGCATGTCAGCAAGCATGTCAGGAAAATAGGGAGAGTAATTTCTAAAGAGCATTGTGTTTTAGACCCTTTCAATTTTCACTCCTACAGCTAAGTTCTCTAAGGCCATGAAGAAATAGACAAGCTTTACATACTACGAATTCAAAGACACCTTTATACTCATTTATCATCCACCTTCTAAAATGAATGGCATTCAGGAAAAAGAACTCCAAAGTTTAACCATTTTTCTCATAAATGTTTCCATCCATAAACAAATGGTCATTTTGATGAAGGCATTTTTGCCAGAGTAATATATTTACAGTTACTTTGAAAAGTGTGTCTCTTTTTCTGTGTCTGGATGAAGAGGGTCATTTCATCCTCACGCAAATGCTGCTTTTCTTCCTTGTTTGGTGGGGTGTGCGGCTCTGTGTTACCTAACACAGAGTCTGATAGTAGTTCATGCCTTGGCAGTCACCTGGGTGCAATCCCATCACAGAAGGGCAGTACTTTCTCCTCATGGACACTTGGCTCCCTTAGGCAAAGCAGGATGCCTGTTCTGCTGTGGCATCCCTGGCCCTCAGCTCCACCCCAATACCTAGATTCTCTGCCAAAGTGTGACTGAGATAAGATAGCCAGGTCTTTGAATGTGCCCTTCCCCACACATGCACACCCTTTCCTTTGCAATTGTCTCTGATGAGAAATATGATTTTACTAAGATAAGAACACCCAGTGGGCACTACAGGAGGAACTGTCTGGATGCTCGCATAATGATGCATTCCAGAGACCAGGAGCTGTGATGATTTTGATTGACTTTGGTACACATTGGTTTGCAAAAGTGTTTAAAACACTGCTGGAGACTGAGCCAACTGGGCCAACTGGTCTCCCAAGATTGCAGGCAACTTCCAGGCAGTTCCCCCTATCCTGGTAGGGACACCTGCAGAGGATGTCCAGCCCAAAGAACACTCACTTTTCAATGGGTGAGTAAAAGCACCAAAATCTGGTGATAAAATCTTGAAATAGTTCCATAGGTCCTTTGATGCTTTGCGATTGTGCATTCTGTAAGGATAAAGAATGTAAACCTGTATGTTCCTAGCTGCTTATATGATAACCCTTTCAACATGCTTATATTGTATACTGTATTGGCAATATTTAGATACTGTACTAGCAATAAATCTAATAATAATAATCCACATAACCAGTGTCATACTTCTTGTGTCTGACCAAGAGTCTTCTCTCTACTACTCTGCTACACAAATATAGGATCATAGGTAGTTCAGTTTTGTTAAAATGAGATCTGGTTAGATGAGGTGTTCGTTTAGGAGATAAATCACCGTTTGGACCTCTTTGGGGGTTCAAGGCTATTATGGTTGAGTGGTTGAGTTTTTAAACTCAAAATTCTATGGTATAGTATTTGGGACAAGTAGTGGATCAGGACTCTAGTTAAGATTAGACCAAGTCTGTCTAATAACGGTGACCAGTTAGATTTGGGCTGGCATGGTAAGTACCATTTAGAATGCCTCTTGGTTAATGATCTAAAATCAAGGTAAAGTTGCATTAGGCACAAAGTAGTGTACAGATTGTATCGTGGTACATAAAAAGGTTGGATAGGAATGGCTGTTAGCCAGTGAGTGTGACAGAGCAATAAGGCAGAAAAACAGTAAAAATAGCAGACTGGTCCTCAAAATAAGAATAAGGTATTAGCATGAGTAAAACAACTTCTTCGGGGCTGCATTTCCAGTTGTCTTCTGGGTCACTATGGGAATGGATTAGGAGCTTGGCATAGAATTTGAGTACACACTTATCCTGGGCATTGCCATTTTGATAAAATACAAGTCCATCTGCCCAGGATGGACAAGTACTGACAGTAGATGTTGACAGGACATACATGGGTATGTCAGATTGTTCTGCAACACACTTTGAATAAGCATACAGTGAAGAGTATTATGAACATTTCTTACAGAATAAAGAACCTCTTTTTAAGACAGAAGGCAACCCAGTTTTAAGAGCAATACAAGCAAGTAAAAGCAGACCTTCAATTATATTCCTTCTGTTTTCATTGGTCATCCATTACATGTATATGTAGGTAAACAATACACAGGTAAGCATTGTTTGTTTCCTAACCAGATATTTCCCATTACTGACAAGGAAGCACTGCCTTCAACATGTACTGTGCCTGTTGGCTACAACACGTCTCTGCTAGGTATGCAAGCACTGGTGCCCCATATATCACAATTTCCCACGGTACTTCTTGTGGAAAGTATTACAGAAACATGGTTGATGTTTATAGCATTTCTCGTTGTTTATATTATGTATTCTTCTAGGTCTATTTACACAAAAGCTGTTTACATTTAGAACAAATAATTATTTATCCAATTCCATGTAAGCTTTTCCCCTATGAGTACACTGCTATTTTCCACTCAGTTCTGAGTCTGGAAATGTTAACTTCACACTGCTCTGAGGCCTTCAGTTATCAGCTTGATAGTTGATCAAACAGAGAGACAATCAACTTTATTTTTCTGCTGAAAACATAAGTTTGCATCTGATTACCAGCACTAGCTGAATTTAGGTTTGCAGCTAAACAGCCACAGACAGCTCAGAAAATACAGTGTCACCATCAGAGACCCACAAAATGTTAAAACTGGCTTGATTTGGCATTTTACATTTATTTTTAGTATAAAAACCACCTCATAAATATAATGCTCTCTGCAGCTACCCTATAGGAGGTTGTAGACAGGTGGGTGTCAGTCTCATCTCCCATGTACCAAGGTGTAAAACAAGAAGAAATGGCCTCAAGTAGCACCAGAGGAGGTTTAGATTTTATATCAGGAAAAAATTCTTCACTGGAAGGGTGGTCAGGTATTGGAACTGACTGCCCATGGAAGTGGTGGAATCACCATCCTTGGAAGCATTCAAAAAACGTGTAGATGTAGCACTTGGGGACATGGTTTAGTGGTGGGCTTGGTAGTGCTGCATTAATGGCTGGACTTGAAGATCTTAGAGGTCTTTTCCAACCTTAATGACTTTGTGATCATAATGTAATACTATTATACTAATTTTTAAGTGTAATACTATTGTATTTTACTATGTCCAGTTCTGGGCTCCTCAGCACAAGAGAGATGTGGAGTTCCTGGAGTGGGTCCGGCAGAGGGTAACAAAGATGATTGGGGGACTGGAGCACCTCTCTTATGAGGAAAGACTGACAGAGTTGGGCCTGTTTCAGCCTTGAGAGATGACTGAGAGGACCTCGTCAATGTCTATAAGTATCTGAAGGGAGGGCGTCAAGAGGATGGAGCCAGGCTCTGCTCAGTGGTGCCAAGTAATACAACAAGAGGCAATGGCAGAAACTGATGCAAGAAAGTTACACTTAAACATGAGGAAGAACTTTACTGTGCAAGTGACCAAGCACTGGAACAGGTTGCCCAGAGAGGTTGTGGTGTCGTCCTCACTGGAGATATTAAAAAACTGTCTGGACACAATCCTGTGTAATGTGCTCTGGGATGACCTGGCCTAAGCAGGGAGGTTGGACTGGATGATCTACTGTGGTCCCTTTTAATCTGACAAATTCTGCGATTCTGTGATAATGTATTCCTAGGTGTCTTCAGACAAATGCATTTTCAGCTTGTTCTATGACTTACTATGCGAATTAATGACTCCACAGTAATTTCAGGAAACTATATTCCCACAATAATGCAAGGGATGATTGCCATAAGAACCAGAACCAGTATTTTGCCAAATTATTGTAAGAAAGGATTATTCAAAAAACAAAGAAGCCTAAGAAAATATTTTCGTAAAGAAAAACAAAACAAACAAAAACAAACAAACAAATCAACCAAACCCAAATCACTCCCAAGTTTTAAGTGGTTGTTGCTTTCCCCCTTCGCCCTCTGTTCCCGCTTTTCCCCGTTGCCGGGCAGGCAGCGGCGGGCGGCGGCGCCCGGAACGGCCGTGCCGAGCAGCCGCTTCCCGGGGAGCAGGATCCGGGAGGAGCTTCCGGCGGGGGCGGGAGCCGGGGTGGCGGGCGCCTTGCTCTGCGACTGACAAAGGGCCCGGCGGGGTCCGGCCGGCCCCATGGCCATCCCCATGGTGCCCATGGAGACGCAGCTGCAGAGCATCTTCGAGGAGGTGGTGGTGAGTCCCTCCCCGGGGCGCCGCCGGCGGCGCAGGGTTGTGGGTAGGCCCGGGGTTCGTCCGGGTCCCTGCGGCCCACCGGGCGCCCTCTCGGAGTGGAGGCATCTCGAAGGAGATGAAAACCGGCGGGAAGAGGGGCCACTGATTCTCCTGGCGTAGTTGGTGCGGTGAAGCCTCGCCGCCCTCCCCGGCCGTGTTTGGCGCTGTGCCAGCGGCGGCTCCGGGGCCCGAGGGATCCGTGGATCCGTGGGGGGAGGGGGTTTTCTCAGGGCTGAAATCGCTCTTCGCTGCGTGTTACATAAAAGCTGACGCAGAGCAGGACTGGGCATAAAAAGGGCATAAAACCGTTGCTTACCCAACACCAAATTCAGTGCACTGAGTTTACGGCAGAATAAGCTGTTTAAGGAGGCGCTTTGAAGGAGACTGTGAGAAGATGAATGTCTTTTTCTTCAGACAGCATAAGGTGTGAACAAATAGTGGAAATACATTCACACAATGGTGCCTGCAAAATGAAGCACAGTTAGCCCAAAGTCCTCTACTCATAGGACAGTCCTTCCAGCCCTTACACTAGCTTTGGGTGCATTCAAGGACCTCCACATCCTTCTTAAATTGCGGGCCCCAGAACTACTCACACTACTTAAGGTGAGGCCACACCAAGGATTAATACAGCAGAATAATCACTTCTTTGGCCGACTGGTTAAAAACAGTGTTCACAAGCAGCAAACAGTGGGGTTTGCCCTCCTGGCTGCTTGGGCTCCCTCTGGCTCACATTGAGCCAGCTGTCAAATAGCACCCCCAGATCCCTTTCCAAAGGGCTGATCTCCAGCCAATATGTTCCTGATTTATACTTGTGCCCAACATTACTCTGTCCCAGATGCAAAATCCGGCACTTCTTAAATTTCATGCCACCAATTGCCACATCCTTCTGTATGACCTCTCATCCCTCAGAGAGTCAACAAACCTCTCAGTTTAGTATCATCAAAAAATTTGCTCATGGTGCATTCAACCCCTGCATCCATATAATTGATAAATTTATTGAACAGCGCTGACCTTACAGTTGAGCCCAGAGGAACACTGCTAGTGACCTGTCACCAGCCAAATGCAGACCCACTCAATGCAATCCTTTGAGCTCTGCCCTCCAACCAGTTCTTTACTCAGCGTGCTGTGAACCCGCTCACCCCACAGTTTAACAGCTGGTCCAGAAGGATGCTGTGAGGGATAGTAGTAAAAGCATTATCCATAAAAAGTATGCCTACTGCTTTCCTTTTGCCCTCTAGGCAAGTGACCTTATGATAGAAAGATATTATATTAAACAGGACTTCCCCTTTATGAACCAAAGTCATTGGGTCATTAAGTCACTGTTTTGTAGAGCACAAATGAATGGGCTTCTTGGTAGATATGGGAACTTCACAGTTGGAAACACTGGGGCGACAATAGCTGATAAGGTCCTGGTGGGTGACACTCCTAGAAAACCTTTTAAAAAACACGTTTTAACAGTAGCTCACTCGGGGGTTTTCTCTTACAGAAAACAGAAGTAATTGAAGAAGCTTTTCCTGGGTAAGTGTAATATTAGTTTATTTGTGCAAGATTTTCTGCAAAGATGTATTTTTCTACTTGTTTCATTGGGTTCTGCTAATAACTGATGTTCTTATTTGCATTAGTATGTTTATGGACACTCCTGAAGATGAGAGAACCAAACTGATCAGCTGCCTGGGAGCTTTTAGGCAGTTCTGGAGCAGTCTTTCCCAGGTTAACGTTTTATTTGTTGCTTATGTGTACTTTATATACTTTCTTTAATATAAAGATACCTCGTCTAGTAGACAGGCACTTTAGCTGTAAGGTCTGTGTCCAGTCATTCAGAATCTGCTTTCAGATATTGTGTAGTAAAGAATATAGGAAGATTTTGCAAGACAAAAATTAGTTTTGAGATTTGTAATGTTATATAGTTGTTCAGCAGAAGTTGGTGTGCAGTGCAAATACAGATAAACAAATGGAAGTAAACAGTAACAAAATAAACAAATGGAAGTAAACAGTAACAAAATAAACAAGATAAAGGTAATTTGTTACAGAATTTCTAGTATAAGTGAATAAGTAGGCAAAAATTAAAAAAAAAAAGAAACTAGATGTTTATGTTTAAAAATTACCTTCCAAAACCTAGGTGCTTCCAGGCACTGTTCCATCACTGTTCCATTGGAGACCTGGTCAACTTTAGTTTTATTGAATTTGATTATGACTTTGAAAAGGGAAGAATAATATAGAACAGTTCTGTCTTACTTTATTCGTGCTAACTTATATGTGAAAACCAAAGTTGACTGTAGAAATCAGTGGTTAAACTAGGAGATGTTTCTTGTACTGGATACCTGAACAACTTCTATTGGACAAGTGAACTTCTTCAAGATAAGATCAAAAGACTTGTAGGAAAAACTATAGGTTGGACTATTGGTGGATCACTTCCACCAATTCGTAGTCGTGTTCTTATGTTAGTTTCATTTCTTCATAGTAGGATACTATATGAATTTTGTAGTTTGTTTCACTACCTGTAAATGCATTCTTTCTCCCCTCTACTGCTTTTTCAGGAGTCCCACGAACAGTGCGTCCAGTGGATTGTAAGATTTATTCATAGCCAGCATAGTCCTAAAAGAATTTCTTTTCTTTATGACTGCCTAGCAATGGCAGTAGAAACTGGACTTTTGCCACCCAGGTAAGTTATGTTGGAATGAATTGATCAGATAGATGGAAATTGTAATATTGGAAGTATTTTTACAATGACATTGTACCATTAGTTCTGGAAAACATGTGCTTATTATCTTTCATTCATTCTTGCATTATCTTCTGCTAGGATGGTTTGTGAATCTCTGATAAACTCTGATACGCTTGAATGGGAAAGGACTCAGTTGTGGGCATTAACGTTTAAATTGGTCCGGAAGATTATTGGAGGTGTAGACTACAAGGTATCTTCCACATTCCTTTCTCTGTGCTAAAATATGTTGGTTTGTAGCTTTGTTTTTATGATTTTATGTCAGAGACACCCAATCTTTCAAAGTCTGCTTTGCTTACAGGAGAAAAAAATTTCAGTGAGACCACTTTTAATGCTTTTTCATAGTGGAGCTTTACCTTAAGAGGTAATTTTGTATTTACAATGTAACTCTTCCTACTCTTTTCGCTATCACAGTCCCCTTTCATCCTTTCTCAGTTACAGGCTAAATAACCCTAATGCAGTTGCAGAAGTGATATAGATATGAAAGTAACACTATCAAGCATTAAGGCTGAAATTTTGTCATCTGCTTAACTCCTCTTGCTACATAGCAGAAGGGTCCGGAAAGCTGAGTCTTTGGCAGAGTACAACTCCAGTGGAAGGAGTAGGAAACCACGCATGTCTTGCAGAGAATCAGCTCATCAGCACTGTTGATTGCGTTAGAGCAAAATAAACTACAAAATAAAACGCAGCATAGCACTCTGGTCCGCCTGCACGAGGCATTGTAGGTTGGATGTCTCTGCATCCACATCAAAATATCAACAGTTACTTTCTCATCTGAGGTATCCTAAGATTGAGACATTCCAAAGCAGTTTTATGTCATTAGTGTTCAAATTCTCAGCAGCCATTTGTCTTCTGACACTTAGCAACAAAGATCTAGTTCTGTCAAAATATTGTCTGACCATTTTGATTGTGTAATCTTTCTGTCAAAAATAAAGAATATCTGGGGATGTTAATTTTACTTAATTTTACGTGCTTTCTTTTAGGGTGTTCGAGACCTGTTGAAAGTGATCCTAGAGAAAATCTTAACAATTCCAAACACTGTGAGCTCAGCTGTTGTACAGCAGCTTTTAGCAGCAAGAGAGGTAACTATCTGAATACTATATCACTACAGAAAAAGATAGGCCTCATTCTGTTGTTGCTAGTGAGTTTGTAATAGGTGGGATGGCTCTGAACATTGGTACATTTAAACAGGAAAGAGCCATTGTGCCCTTATTCTTGACTGTAAATGCATTTTATGCAGGAAACAAAGCAATTTTCGTAAATATCCTAAATATGCATTAAAATCCCTAACAGGAGAGTCAGGCCTAATGTTTGACTTGCTTAAGGTGAGATGTATGAGATTTAATACTCAGATTAGTTTCTTTATTTTTTTTTCTTAGTGAATAAAAATAGTAATTGTTGGCAGTACTTTGTAGGCAGACATAGAGGCATGGTTTTACTTAGATTTAGACAGTCTAACTTAGGCTTATACAATTAAAAACAAGTTTTAGACTAGAGTAGTACTATCAGAATACAACTTCAGAAAAAGTATTTTAATTCTTTTATCTGTTTTAATGGACTATCTCAGATTAGTAGGCAGACTACACCTTCATTTACCTTATTCAAAGTCTTTTACACTGATGTATTTTTTCATTTATAGGTGGTAGCCTACATTTTGGAAAGAAATGCATGTTTGTTACCTGCCTACTTTGCAGTTACAGAAATCAGAAAACTATACCCCGAAGGAAAACTTCCTCATTGGGTAATGATATATCAAATACTGTAATCTGGAGTTTTGTTGCACACAAAACAAAATTACTTGAATTTTTTTCATGGAGATTTAAAATCATGCATTCAACAGTAAGCTCTGTGTTTAGTCATATAAATTAAGTGGCAGGCTTGATATGATTGCAGAAGCAGCTGTGTTTAAATTCAGTGATACAAAAATATTTGATGCCATGAAAATGGTCATTGTTTCAAAAAAAAAAGTAATATTGATCCAGTTTTTAATTTTGCATTCTGTTAAAATAAATAGGTGTCACGAAAAGGATAAAATCTGGACTCCCTTGAATTAGTGGGAAAATTATTACTGACTTTTGAGACAAGATTTAAACTAGAGTGTACTAATCTGTGTCAGTTGTCTATATGGAGTTGTTATTCAGAGGTAAACAGATGTATTATGAACAGGAATTATAGCTTGCCTTAAAGCATCTGTTACTAAGTGTTATGCATTGAAATAATATAGTTTGCATAGGAGAAGCAGTTATATAAACTCTTGCTTGAGTGCAAGTTGAGAAGAGTGCTTCCTGCACCTTCTTTCTAATGTCACATTTTTTCTTTTGTGATTTTAGGTTCTGAATGATTTTTCTGACTTGTTGAAATCTATAGGAAGCTAGTTATTTTAGTAGATTCCTTTATTTTTATTAGAATGTGTAAAGTATTGAGTCTTAAATGCTCCTTATCATTATCTGGAACTTAAATTCTTATTTTTTTCCTCCTTTTCTCACCCAGTTACTAGGTAATTTAGTATCAGATTTTGTGGATACCTTCAGACCTACAGCAAGGATAAATTCCATTTGTGGTAAGAGAATGACTTAATTAATGACTTTAAAATAAATTAATTTATTTGAACTATTTTGTTTCTTATAACCCTTAGTGACATATATCATCTAAGTCAAATGAGTCAGGTCTTTTGTTTCATGAAATGTCTTTACTCTTGTCAGTTCTCAGGCTTGATTCCCTTCAGATTTTGCTTTGAAGGGGAAAATTCATATTGATGAGATCAAAATAATTTTTTGCTACAACCTGGTAATGGAAGTGTTAACTACTAAGTGTTAACCACTTGTTACATGGTCATATGTTTTCTAAGTACTGTAGACGTTAAGAAAATTGTAGGTTTTCTGTGCTCAGGGATTTTGAGTTAATACATATCCGCTGGTGTGTTAGTCATGGGGTGTTTTCTGACTTCAACTTCCATTGCAGCTTTTGTAGCTGCTCAGCCCTCACTCTGTTGTTGCAGGCTTCTGTGTGAACATTTCCTTGCTCATATAAGTTCTGGTTCTACTTTTCTGTGAAAGAAATGCTCAGCTTCATTTATTGTTAGAAGTCTAGTGATCAAAATTTGCTGTTTTAGTTGTGATGCTTGCTTCATTTTCTTCAGAAGATAGAAGTGTCTTATGTTTGCTTTGAAAATTAAGTAGTTTAATAACAGCTGCCTTCCTTCTTAGATTTTATTGCAGCTGAGCTTATTCAGTGTAGAGATTAAGAATGTAAATTCATCTGTAATGTTTCAAAGCATTTTGTTTCAGAAGCTTGTAGTTATTCTTGTATTGAAAGTGTGGCATAGCTTTTATTTATATGACTCATGGGGATCGCACACAATTTTTTCCGAGCATTGTTATGTGTAAATGAGTTGTATAGTTATGGTTGAAGGGAAGAAATAAATATTTACTTTTTGGTTTATCTGGTAGTAGTATGGCCAATTTGGGTAATAGAAGTCATGGAATTTGAACTGTCAAAAGTCAAAATTGAAGCACCTCAATTTAGATGCTGATATACAGGTGTGCTTGGTACCTATGAAATAAATCCCAGGTGCCTAATCTACACTGACTAACAAGTGTAAATTTAGCTTACGGATCACTTCATGTGTGATCAGCTGAATCACGTTGGTCTATGCTGACTGAATTGACTAGATTTCCACTGAGTGTAATTGGAATACACACCCCTACATTTGACTTGTTTGCTGAACAGAATCTTACCCACAGGGGGAATGAAGGGAAATTGTAAGACTAGATTATATAATTAGATTTATGATGGCATTTTCTTTGTGGAAAGCATCAGTGTACTGAAATCAAATCCCTAGGTCAAGCAATGGCAAGGGAACAGTCTTCTGGTAACTTAAAAAGGTACTTTTAGCTTGGTATTTGCAAATATTTTTATTTTTAAGGTACCTAATCTGAATAAATGGGGATTTTACTCCTTAGATATTTTGTTAGTTGAAAATTGGTTAGATAAATAAAATCAGCCTGAAGCAATCCTATGGTCAAAAGCTTTAAGCAGTGGAAGTTTAAGGAGAGCATAAAAGTGTCTGAGGCCAGTTTTTGCATCAAAATGATTAGGGAATAGGCCAATTTCATTGGTTTAGAATTTATGTTTCTTTGCATGTAGGTCGCTGTAGTCTCCTTCCTGTGGTAAATAACTCAGGTGCCATGTGTAACTCATGGAAGCTGGATCCTACAACCCTTCGTTTTCCTTTGAAAGGTCTCTTACCATATGATAAGGTATGCCTTATTAAACTTCTTAAATATGTTATATTCAATAAATATGAAACTTCTATATAATTTTCTGGGGGAAGGGGAATTTCAGCTGCTGCCCAGGATACTGAAGAACATGAGACATAATTTAATGTACTTTGTGGGTGTGTGTGTGTGAGACAGCAAGTGAGAACAGAGAGTTGTTTGGAAAAGTAATTAAGCAGTGGCTATGTGGAAGACAATGGGATGGTAATTTCATCTTTTCTGTGTTCTTCATCATTGCATAAAAAAGATAATTTTACAATTCAAACTTATATTTAAGTTAGCTTGTTTGAACTTAAAACTATTGAGTGTGAAATAGTGATGTACTAAAAGAACTTAAAAACTCTAAAGAATCAGGACAGAAATCCACGTTGTCCAGCATCCCATTCCCTGTATCCTGTCTAAGGAAGGATATAAAGATACTGTCTCTATTAACATGTATAGTGTTCGTAATCTACAGCAATTATCATTTTGTGTATTTCCTGAGACAGATGTGATTTCTGTGTATTTAGTTAACCTTCATCTTCCAAATATTTGTTCAGACTCTTCTTGAGCCCCTTTAAGCTTTTAGTATCCTCAACATTCCTTTGACAAGGAGTGCCATATTTCAACTTCACGTTGCTTGAGGAATCAGGTCCTTCTGTTTGTTTTGAACCCAGCTTCAGATAATGTTTTTCTTTAATGTTATTCAGCTATTGAAAGATGAAGTGAGCAGTTGTTCCACATCTGATTTCTTCACACTACGCGTGATTTTTGTGCACTTCGGTCATGTGTTTCCTCAGTTTTCTTACCTTGTTTCCTTTGAGTTCAAGGCTGTTCTATCCTTTTATTGGGTGAACAATGTACTTCTGCTTGGTCCTCATAAAATCTGCCACTTCTTAAGAGCCGTGATTATTTCCTCCTTTTGGTTATCAGAGACCAAGACAATTTGCCAGATAGTACATATCTGCATAAATTAAACGTTCATTCTTACATTGTTTAATTCTGTTAAACATAAACTCAGTATCAAACATAATTTTGAGGCAATATATGTTTGTATGTGATTGCTTGTTTCTTTTTCAAGGATCTGTTTGAGCCACAGACTGCTTTGTTGAGATATGTGCTGGAACAACCGTATTCAAGGGATATGGTCTGCAATATGCTAGGTCTGAATAAGCAGGTACTGTACTGTGCTGTAACATGATTTAATTCTGCATAGAATCTGCACTATTCTTTTTCTCTTTTCTTTGCTATAGCTAACTAAGCAAAACAGTTTAGGTACAGAGAGTGATTTTTTTTAATTTATTTTTATTTTTTTATGAGATCATATTAGGTTAATTGGACCTGTTATTCCTATCATTTGTATATTGCTTTACGAATGTTAAATTGAAAAGTAGAGATTTAAAATATGATTTTTTTTTTGCATTGCTTTTTTTTCCTATAAGGCCAGCCTCAAGTACACCTTTGACAGACAGTAGGAGACTGGTTATTGTTCATTAGTTTTTAAAGCATTGTTGTACTCTGTTATATTGGCATGTTATAGTACTAGAGTAGTTGAAAGCTGGGTTTTGTTTTGTTAACTTTTTTTCTTTTTATACCTTAGAATGGGAGGGCTTAGTCTGACTTGGGGATCCTTGAGGCTGGCCTCATAGTCACTGTTTTGTCTTTTCTTTTTTTCTTCCTTTATTTTTGTTCTGTCCTGTCTTGTCCTGCCCATCCTCCAATGCTCTAGACCTTGAACATTGCTCAGGTATGTTCACAACCTTACTGTTGTATTGTGACTAACGATACGCTGGCCGCTTTGTAGCCACTGATTCCAGTTAGAGAATACATGTACAGGCAGGGCTTGAAATTGGCAGGACTATTAGTCAAGGGCAGATTCTCACTGCAGATCTCTAGAAATGTGAGAGATGTAGCATAAAGCTGACAGTCAGTGGTCCTTTGATCCTAAAATTTTTGTTGGAGTGGACTGTTACTATTTTTCATACCAGTCATAACTTTTTACTTTGCTGGAATTTTCAGATGAGGAGAGATGCTTAGTTCAAAATTTCTTTCCTTAAGCAGGTGGAAAAACAACCACTGGACTTAAGTGTAAAATTATAAAGCTGTAAATACATAATTTAAAAAAAAAAAAGGTTTACTAGCGGAATTTTCTTATCATTAGGAAGCCTCTGTAAAAAACTTACCAACAGGCAATTATAATATTCCCCAAGCTAGGTGAAAGAAAAGTAGTGCAGAATACCACACAAAAAGTAGTTCCTTAAAATTTTGACTACTTGTTTAAAATAAATAAAACGCCTGAGCAAATCAACCAAGTGGGCTTCTGCTTGAAATTTGAAATTATTGGTGTTATATTTACAGTTTATCCCTTGTTACACTAAAAATTTCCACACCTACTTTAAAAAATAAGATTTATAAAATAGCGTTGCTGTTTGCAATACTATAGTGAAGGTTGTGTCAGTGTTTCCATTTAAGAAACTTCTTTCAGATTTGTAACTTGACTATAAAATTTACATGATCCTGAAACCTTGTGTATATTTCCCATTGTAAGTGAAGTACACCGGTGCTTTTTCTGAATTGGGACTGTTTTTGAATGAGCAGATTCCTACATCTTGGCAAACAGTACTTTGTGTTATATATGAGAATCTTAAAGCAGCTGAAATGTTAAACCTTGGAAATGAGCTGCTAGGTTTCCTGTTTAAATGAGTAGTATTTGTGTGTCTATTTCTGTGTCTGCATTGGGTTAATAAACCAAACTATTCCTCTATCCGTCCTGTAGCTGGTAAATTATACAAGATCTAGACAAAAAATACGTTGAACCCATTTTATTCTTTTAACTATGGGTGGTCTGTGCTTTCAGGTCAAAAAACATTTATGTTAAAAATGCTGGGTTTTAACTTCTACTTTACCATATTAATCTATACTCCTTAAAATTTGTTTACTAGTATAGGAATTCCTACACAAAGTTTCATCTTGGCGTGAATTTTTATGGCCAAGGAACAAATGTGAAGAATGTAGCTTATAAAGGAAATGCTGACAGAACATGAACTATAGCTGTGCTGCTACGATTATACCAGCATAATGATGTTTGGGCTGTTGAAATTTTGTGAGTTGAAGATATGTGAGTTAAAAATACAAATATAGAGGTGAATGGTGTAGTGGTATAGAACAGGAAATACGTTCCATTTAAACATTAATATACTCTGCTTGAAACTGTGGAAAACATTGAAATTTTACTCACTTTTGGGTACAAATTAACTTCATGTTATAGCTGAGTTTGTTAATGTAGCCACCTGACAAAAATAGTAGCATGCTTTTCAGAAATTGTGTAACTATATCAATGCTTTCAGTAAAATGGTTAATAATTTTGTATTTTATTGTTAGAGAAATAACCTGCAGAAATGAACTGTTGCTATAATAGAAATGCAAATAGTGCCACGTTTGTTTCAAAATAAATACAGAAACACCTCAAAGCAATGATCATTATTTATTTATGATCATTAATTATTTATGTGAAGTTGCTTGTATGCCCTGTCAACTATTTACACAGATCCAGTTGCAGGATTGGAGCCTTCATTTGAATCTTTTGGCATCAGAATCTAGGTATGGTTCAGCCAGATTTGTCCTAGTTCTCAAATATTCTTGAAGATGAACAACGAAATTTTGTGGTTCAGTCTTAACTAAGCAGATCTATGTTAGAAAACTGTTCATTCAAGCCATCTCTTGTTGTGTAAAAAACATACAAATCCAGCTGTCCTGTTAACCTCGCAGGGTAAAAAAGGAAGGTAAAATTTCATATATTTATAGATTCACATGTTCCTTTCAGGATTTTAAGTTTTCTTGTGGGATGAGGTTTTCTAATACCCTTGTCAATTGTATGGCTATGAGTCCAGATGTAATAATATGGACTTCAAAATGTGTCTTCTCTTGGTGTCGGGGGACTTAGAGATTTTGCTACTGTGTTCTTCTGTGTGGGATAGTACGTACTCTTGTATACCTGTTTGAATTAGTCTATAGGAAGTAGAGATTTAAACTGTATTTTATCATGTCTGTTATCGTGGTTTGCAGTTAGACTGGATCTTAGTGGTCTAAATGATTCTATGATTCTATGTCAATTTATATTCTGCTACTAGCTGGAGTGTTACTCCTGATTCTTAGTTATCTTTTTAATAAGTTTTTTGAACTATGTAGCTATCTATTTTTTTGAAAATGATTAACAGTTCAAAATGTCTTAGTGCCCTGATACCAGATTGAGATTTAGTTTAGGGATCCTACAGTTGGTTCTTAAAATGAAATTTACTTAATGTCTTAAGGACATGAAGTCACTTTGGATGTTTTTGTTTATATCTTTACTTTCTCTGTATGTACATACTTACATGAAGAATAAAAAGCCATTCTAGCTTGCATAATTGCAGTTACAATCTTACTGTAGTCCTCTAAACAGTCACAAGCTTTGTTACTTTTATTTCTCTGGTTTGGGGAATATTTGAAAGAGAAGGTAATTTTCAAGTGTCTTGTTTCTGTAATGTTATACAAAGTTTTAATTAACAGCAGTTGTATTAAATGATTTTGCTCTTTAAATAGTATATTTGGTTGGACACCTTTTCAACCAGCAGTGGTGATCTGCAGCTTTGAGTAGGAAATTATCTATGCCATAATCTGTTCAGGTGAATGTGTAATTGTATTCTCTCCTAGCTACAAACCAGGATAGAATACCAGGATAATTAGCTTAGGGAAGCTGTTGTTTATTTCCTGTCTGTCCATGCGTTGTGAAAGGAATGACAGAATGCAATATTCAAAAATTTACTTTCCTTTCACTTTTATGTTTAAAATAGCTGGGATCTTACTATCCAATATTACCTATGTTAACCTGGCAAATAATTTAAGGGGTGTGATTATTTTTATATATTTCTGATTGTAGGGGTGTGCATTGAGAACACTCACGTGTACAAGTTTCTTGTTGAAACTTACTCCATTTTTTTAATGAGGAAAACTTGAGAATGGCTACCAAACTTGGTAGAAATAGAATCAGACATAATACAAAGAATAAGCTTTAAGGTTTTGTGGTTTTGTAGAATGCAGTCTTGGAAAATGGAAGTGTGGGAGTAGTTCTGTCTTGTATTAACTACTTCAGGCATTTTGAATTGGACTTTTGGAGATATCATTTATCCACTTACTATTGTAGGGATTTTGGTCTCTGTGATTTGGTCTTCTGAATCCATTTCTTAAGTATAGTAAATGTTGTTTGTTTAAAATATTCAAATATTCAAAAACTATCATAACTGTCAGCCAGCCTTACCGACTTCTTAAAATACTTTTCTTTTAGGAAGGAACACATCTAATGCTAACCTTGCCCACCTAAACACCACCCCACCCAAAAAAAAAAAAAAAAAGAAAAAATCCAAACTCACATAAGAACAACAAACCACCATCCAATAGAAGCTTTGATCCACTTAAAGTACCACCACTACTCCATCATCAGAGGGCTAGTCTCAAGAAATTAAAGTGTCATGGTAGCTGTTTTTCCCCCCACTGTATTTCTTTATGGTTTAAAAATGTTTTCAATTAGGTTATTCATCAGATTTTTAAATGTTATTTTCAGGACAAAATGGAGAATATGTGTTTGTGTAACCAAATTATAAAAATTTGAATTATTTTCTCTTTAGGAGAAAAGCATAGTGATTTTGAATGCTATATTTTTCCATATGCAATCCAAAACTGTGTTTGGGGTTTTTTTGTTGCTTGTTTTTGTTTTACTTAAACCATACCATAACATGAATTCCTACTTATTTATGAAGGTAATCAGCTGTCACCTGTATTTTTATTCATCTCAGTATATACTGAGATGTTCTTTCAGTTGTGAGCAATTAATAAAACAAGGACCCAATCCTGCAAATTCCTGTGCAGCCAGTATTTTATTTCTGAGTGTTCTAAAATTACAAGTACAAAATCTGTGCAAAAATGTATATTCACTAAAAATACAGAAAAAAAATTCCCAGAAAATTAAATTAATGAAGATAGAACATGAAGTATTGCTATGTTTCTTACTGGAGATTGTTCTTAAAGCAATAAAAGTATGATTTTCAGAATAAAAGATTGAATTAATTTTTTAAATTTTCTTGCTCTTAAACTTTTCCCAATCTTAGAATTATAATAATAATGAAAAGTCCTACTGGAAATTCTGGCTCTCTTTTTAACAGTAATATTTTTCCTGTTGTATTCTTTCAATAACTTTATTCTAAATTCGTATAGCCTAACATGATTAGGCTTTTGGACATTAACCCAGTGCTTAGAAAACTATTAAATTTCAAGCCCTGTACATAGTAGTTTTGCATGCTGGATTATAAACTAGTCTTTAGTGTTGTCTGTTGCACCCTGCTCTGCTTCATAATTAGTTGCTTTGGGAGGGGGGGAAAAATGAACTACAAAAGACCCGAAGTATTCTGACTTGATGGTGATAACACTGCTCTGTGTAAACCTGTACCATGGTTGGTCTGTGATAATGACATGGTGTTCTGGAAGAAAAGGTATAATTGATGCTTTCTGTTCTAGTTAGAGGTTTGTGTTAAGCATGCTTCAAGAAAGCACAGCTGGAATTGTAGCTTTCTGCACTTTTGAGCTGGCGAAGAGCATGCAATAGGGGATGCTGTTCACTGTATTTTGACAACTTCTCCAATTCTTGCATTCTGTCTTTAATTGAAGAGAATCTTTTTTTTTTTTTCAAAGCAAAAGACTACCATCAATGAAGGTAGAACAAGCATCTCCTTTCAGCATCTCTCTTTACTTTTATTATATCTTTATTAGTTAAAAGGGTTTTTTTAGTCTGCCTGGCTAGTAAGTCAAAGAACTCATCTGAGGCATCCCTAAAATGTTTTATTAGTATTTGGGTGATATTTTAAAACTTGTTTACAAACACCTTTTTGCCTCTGGAAAGGGATACTGCATTTTCATGTTTAGAGTTTGAACAGCTCAGCTCCTTTTCTTTTGTATCATTAAAGTAATAATTTTTTCTTTAAGGCTGCATTATGTTACAGGCATCAACCCAAATAAATGAATAAATAAATGTGACCATTCTGGAATACAGATTGCATTGAAACAAACAGGTTAGATTATTTCCAAAGTGCTAGCATTTTCTAAAGTAAGTTTAATTCCCAAAAAGTTTTTGTCCTTAGTAACAGTACATTGTATGAGTGTAACAATACAAATGCAGAGTGATAAGAAAAGGTTGTTGCATTAAAGAACTTGTAACATATGACATTATGTTTGATGGTTTTCAACTGAAGATCTATAATCTTCACACGTAGTGGGCCTTCTTTTATATACATCTGTATTAATGTGCATCTGAATATGTAATACATCCCTTACTTGATCGTTACTAGAAGTCATCAGAGATGGTGTGTATCTTTATTTCTGGGTTTGTGTAGCTCAATGTGAAGATTGTGGCCATCAAACATCCGAAGAGCTCATCACTATGAGATGTAATTTCTATTCATAGTATGTAGAACATACCACTGATTAATTGTCAAGCCTTTTTGATGCTGTCTTGTAACTTGTGGTGTTGTGTCAATAGGACAGCATCTAATTATACGAGTAATGACCAGATGTTAATTCTGCTGCAAGTTGGTAGGCTTATAGATGAGCCCAAAATGAGAGTGAAAAAGAGAATAGTCATTAAATACCTACATCAGGTATTGGGATGTTTCCTCTGCATTTGGTGATATAGGTGATACATATTTTTCTTTGTGGTGAGCCCTACTTTTGAAAAGAGGGAAGAAAAAAAAACTAACAAAAAATCCAAAACAAACAAAAGAACCCCTACCTGTGCATTAAAAGACTTTGTTTTCTGTGAATGCAAGATCAAAGAAATAACATTCTGCTTGCCTTTGTTAAAAAAAATCCACAAAATCCCCAGATGTTATTTGTGCATTGATGAGCTGTGCTTTGGAACTGAGTAGGCAATTATGTAATGTATGATAAAATGTAAAAGTCATTGTGACCTGTGACATAGTGCAGCTTTAATACACTGACTTATCCTTAACTTAAATTCAGACTTCATCTCATGCTTCCCAGCCTTCTTTCAAAATACTGTACTGTAACTTCAACTGTGCAAGTTCTGGAGTTAATGGCAAGGCTTTTGGAATACTGTATCTGATCTCTGCCTTACAGCACAAGCAACGTTGCCCTGTGCTGGAGGACCAGCTGGTGGATCTTGTGGTGTATGCCATGGAACGATCTGAGACTGAAGAGAAGTTTGATGATGGTGGAACCAGTCAGCTTCTGTGGCAGCATCTCTCCAGCCAGCTCATTTTCTTTGTGCTCTTTCAGTTTGCAAGTTTTCCTCATATGGTCCTGTCGCTCCATCAAAAGGTAAATTGTTTGTATCGCTCACACGTGGTAAGAGGGATTTAAAAAACGAAACAAGTATGTTTTAAAAAATTGTCACACACCCCTGCAAGAAGTACCTTATGTGCAAGAATTAACTAAATTTTTAATATTGTGCTGTATAGGAGTAAGTCAGATTCTCAAGTTACGGTGCTGTGAGCTAGGTCTGGATTTAGTATATTCATATATAGGATGTTGCATTGTGTTTGGATTCAAAACGTGTGAATAACTAGAATAAAGAGATAAACTGGCATAATTCAGAAGATCCAAGTACTGTGCTGTTGCATCTAGTTTACAACTGAGTTTAAAACAGAATGAACACCCTGTCTGTGGACTAAAAAACATGCCATGTAAATGAATGCGGGAACTTGCTGTTTGTCTAATCAATCAACTCAAAGCAATCTAATCAAAGGTAATTTGTCCAATTACAGTGATACTGACAATCAAACTCCCAAGTTATAATAATAATTCCATTAAAACTGATACTGGTATTTGCCCTTTTCTCTGGTGCTCAATGCCTCTCTGAGTTCTAAGGGTGGTGATGCCAGTCCTGAGAAGGGAAACGAGAGGTTACAGTCAGTCAGCAACATCCTGAGCTCTTTGCTTAGAGAGCTGTATGCTGTTGATGGTAGGAAAGGGGTGTTCTTTCTCCTCATTATAGGATTAACTTGTGACTATTTAGATACAGCTTCTAACATGCACTACACATTGCTCCATCTTCATTTGTCCTCAGTTCCATGTTACATAAAAATGTAACTCTGTATGCTATGTTTTACTGGTGATGGATTGTAGTTCTCTGCTGTCTTTGTTATCCCTAAAATTAATTTTACCAGGGCTGTTTTTCTGTAATTACTGTTGATAAACCATCAAAACAATAGTCATGACACAAAACAATTGAACAAATCTAATATAACACTACAGCAAGCAAGGTAAGAGTAGTGTATTGGTTGTTAGAGAATTGCTGTTACAGGTAAATTAAATCACACACACAAAAAAATCCACGAGTGCAGATGAAGCAAGCCCAAGTTGTTCTGGTTCAGAGACTTTTTTTATAGAAAGAGTTTATAAAACCTGTGGCCTGATGCTAATGACAATACTGTACTTCACTACAAGGCTGCAGGGTGACAATTTAAGATAGTATTTAAGTGTTGCTAATTTTTTAAAGCAGTGATCCTCAAGAGTTAAATGCATTTTAAATCTTACCATTAATTGTTCTGCCTCTCCCAGAGTCTGTTTGTGTGTTACAACTAATGTACCTGTTTCTCTTCTTTCTGGAAACATGATGTACATTTCTACTGAAGTCCTGCTATAAAATTCTCACTGATCTCTGCTGGAACTGTTTTAGTCTGCCCTTGTACTTTTATGGGAATCTTTGCAGTGATTTTTCTCCGGTGTGCAGTATTTATCTGTTACTGAATGTTTTTGACAGTTGGCAGGCCGTGGTCTCATTAAGGGGAGAGACCACTTAATGTGGGTGCTCCTCCAGTTCATCTCTGGCAGCATCCAGAAGAATGCACTGGCTGACTTCCTCCCAGTTATGAAGCTTTTTGACCTCCTGTATCCTGAGAAAGAAGTAAGTCTCTAATTTTTAATTCAACTGGGACCTTTATATGTTAGTATTACTATCATTCTTGAGTCACTCTTAAAACACATACGTGCTGCATAGTTGAAGAGAGATGCTTCATAATTAAATGATTTTTTTAGGATTTAGGATTTACTTGGATTTCCTATCCATGTAAACATGTTTGTTTTTAGGGGCAAGAAGAAACTTACGTTGACTCCTCTCTTCCTTGACTTTGGTTTGACTAAAGTTTTGAGGAGTTTGTTAAAGCACTGAGGAGACTATTAAGGAAAAACGTGTAATTTTATTGTTACATCTGAGCTGTAACAGAATAGTACACTGAAAGACAGCTTCAGTTGCAAAGAACTGAGTGGTTAGTTAAAATTCATTGTGCTGGGACAGATCCAATCCTAGTCATGCTTTATACATTCCTCTAGAAGGGACAGTTAGAAGTTCTTAAACTTTTATCATGATAGCACTGTGAAGTGTGATTGCTAACTCTTTTCATAGTGCTTTCTGCTTTGGGTCAGTGGTTATGATAATACAAATGTGTGGTGTATCAAACTGATATGTAACAATTTTTTCCCCGATATATTAGTTTTGACTCACAGAAATTCTTTGGTACAATTTGTGTCAGGAGCTTGCAGTTGCTTTTGTCAGCATAAAATATGGGAAGAGTGATGGGACTACTTTAGCTGTAGTGATGACTCCGAGTTACACTTGTTTAAAGTCTTTGTGTGACTAGGGCATTTCTTAGGGTTCAATTTCACAAGCACTTTAAATGTTATCTATGGCTGTTGCTCTTACAAGTATCTCTCTTGCAGTCCTGTTGATTATGCAGTGGTGGTCTCACTTGTGCAGCCAGTGGTGCTTGTGCAGTAGGAACTGTATCAAAGGGAAAGAAATGCTGGTGTTGGCAAAAGGAGAGAGCCAGAGTGCCTTTTCCAGTGGCAGTAATATACCTGAGTCTGTATCCAAAACTTTTAATTTTGGGGTGTATTTCTACCTTTTCATAAGAAATGTATTAATCTTTAAGGATTAACTGTGATGCTGAACAATTTAGATTTTTCAGAAAATACTGGTGAACCACTGAGTACCTACTATGGAAGCACATAGCATAACCGATTTCAGAATAATGTATGTGTGAGGCTGAGAGGAAAAGCGCATACTTTGTAACTATATATGTCTGGAATTTGTATACTCTAAGCATGAATTTCCTTTTGCCAAAGTCTTAGATAATTTGTTTGGTTTGAGTGTTTTTCAGAATAATTATTGAGGTCCAGGTCTCTTCCAGAGCTCTTGATTTAACATTGCATACAACGATGAGGGTAGAATCCGTTCTTTAAAAATGTTCCTTATGGTACTGCAGGTCAGAAAAAAAGAAAAACGTGACCTTGTGAATACTGTCTATCTAAGTCGATTTTCTGCACATTAATCCATGTGATTTGTCACATTCATGTGTTCTTTCTTTAGTGCATTCCTGTACCTGATATTAACAAACCCCAGTCAACTCATGCTTTTGCAATGACCTGCATTTGGATTCATTTGAATCGGAAGGCCCATAGTGACAACTCCAAGTTACAGATTCCCATTCCTCATTCTCTCAAACTTCACCATGAGTGAGTGTGGGGTTTTTGTTATGTTTTGATTTGTGCCTAGACATAATGAAATAGGAGGTTCCAAGTCTGTATTCAGAATGTATTGTGTGATGGGCTGCTGTATAAAGGTTATCAAAGGAATGAGTTCAAAGTAATTCAAAAAGACAAAGTTCAAACTCAAAATATTTCATAAAAAGGGAAATGCTGTCATCCAGCTAATGGAAATGATATATTTTATTGCAGAATAATAAGTCTTTATTGCTAATGGAGAATCTGAAAGTAAATTGACTGGTTTTGTTATGCTGTGGTTTGGAAAGTGTGGATAAGCAGTACATTGGGTTAAGTTTTCATCTCGAAAGGTGGTTTTTAAAGTGTATTTATCTGCTGAGGTGTTTAATATAGAAAAATCGTAACACAATGAAACTGTGGCATAAGTTGTAGTTCTTTTGATGTGGTGCAATTAACAACTATTTTGATTTTTTTCTACTATTTTATAATGGATTTTTTTGACTGAAGTTATTGTGATGGTATTTTTGGAATGTCTGTGCATTCTTTCTGCCTAATGTTTAACCTCTTCGGTACGCAGGTTTTTGCAACAGAGTTTAAGGAATAAAAGTTTACAGATGAATGACTACAAAATTGCCTTGTTGTGCAATGCTTATTCAACCAATTCAGAGTGTTTCACTTTGCCAATGGGTGTACTAGTAGAGACTATTTATGGAAATGGCAACATGAGAACACCTCTTCCAGGGACTAACTGTACGGCATCAGGGTCTATTACCCCGTTGCCAATGAACCTCTTGGATTCACTCACAGTTCATGCCAAAATGAGGTACAGTATGCAGATAACTTTTTTTGGTTTTAAACCCATAAATCTGTTTGTGGCTAATTATCATGAGAAAGATTTCCTGTGCCTGAACATGTTGTGTATGGATCTGTTAAGTAGTTAATAAATTTCAAGTCCATGTTTTTGATTGAAAAACACTTTCTCTCTTTCCTCAGTCTAATTCATAGCATAGCTACAAGGGTGATTAAGTTGGCCCATGCAAAATCTAGTGTGGCCTTGGCTCCTGCTCTTGTGGAAACCTATAGTCGCCTTTTGGTTTATATGGAAATAGAATCCTTGGGCATCAAAGGCTTTATCAGTAAGAAAGAAAACCTTTTTTTTCCCCCCTTCCTTTTGTTAAGTAGTATTTTCTTTTAATGGCAACTAGAGACCATAATAAAACTGAAAATATAATGATGCAGCATATATAAATTATTTTAATGTAAAAGAAATTGTAAAAGTTGTCTTAGTGCTGCAGTAAATTTCAGATGAATGTGCTGCTGTCCATTTATGCCATCACTTGTATGGTCAAGACCTTCCTAGTTATGCTGCATTGTGCAAAAACATGCTTAATGGAAAATTGTAAGCAAAGTTACCTAATTAGATACACAGGATACTTAATTGCCCTCATTAAAATAATTTGCATGTCTGCTGTATATGTTAATTCAAAAAATTATTAAGCTCTATACATTTACAGCATCTTCAGACAGCACTTGCACACATGCTCTTTGGAGGTAGTACATTTTTCAAATCAAATATCTGACTTGCAGCCTAATAACACCAGTGTACTCTGTAGCTGTATTTCAAAGTGTGATCCATTCTAAAACTTACTTAACAAAATTTTTTTCATAAGGTCAGCTCCTGCCAACAGTGTTCAAATCTCACGCATGGGGAATTTTGCATACTCTGCTAGAAATGTTTAGCTATCGGATGCATCACATCCAGCCTCATTACAGAGTCCAGCTCCTCAGCCATCTTCATTCCTTGGCTGCTGTGCCACAGACTAATCAGAACCAGCTTCATCTGTGGTGAGTGATGTTTGCCATATTTAGCCATAATCCCTTGAGAACTGTGCTTAAACGGGACATGAGTACTTCCATCAAGGTGTGTGTCTTATAGCAGCCTAAACAATGCATAAAACAGTGGCTAATTTAAATACACGAAAGATGGAAAACCTGGTTAGAGAAGCTCTAGAGTGGTTATGGAGATAATTCCAGGGAAAAGCTTTAAGAGTAACTTACTGTTAACAAAGCTGAAGAGTATGAGATTCAGTTTCTATGTAGAATCTGGGGTTCATTGTAGAAAAGTTGTAGAAAATAGTGTCCATTCACTCTCAGAGTACAATAAATCTTGTAGGAGTATGTGAAACAGAGCAACTTCATTATTATCAGTTCATACCCAGAAAATCTTAATTACACAGTGAATTCATAGAGTCATAGAATGGTTTGGCTTGGAAGGGACCTTAAAGATTACGTAGTTCCAATTCTTCTGCCATGGGCGGAAACACCTTCCACTGGACCAGGATTCTCAGTTTCTTAGTCCAAATTCAAATTACCCAGTTGCGTATCCTTTATCAAGCATAAAGAAAACAAATTAAAACAAGTTTCTCCTTAAATTCAAGGTCTTGCTCTCTTTATTCACCTCACTCTTGTTTAGTCATCTTAATCTGAAATACAGATGTTAGTCACTTTTAATAAGCACTGCATGCAACAAAAATGGAATAAACTTATCTATGGCTTTGGTATTTCAAAGACACAATGTTATAAAAGTCTTTTCAATTACTTCAAACTACCTGGTGTGAAAAGTGCTTCCATCTAAAGCACTGGAAGTAAAAGTACTTTTAATCAAAAGCTGTACTTCCTCAACTTCCTCATTTCTTTAATAAGGACAATTTAGTGCTGTCTGCTTCAAGGTGGTAGTTAGCTTTGAAGCTTCCTATGCATTATTCATGCCTTTTTATTCTGGCTTTGCATATATTTATTCATCTGTGTACCCTTCTTTAGATGAAGATGTGCAAAAGGTAACAGTGAGTGGGCTCTAAATTGGGGAGACTTCAGGCTCTTTTTCAGGGGCTCTGCAGCTGGAATTTTCACTAAATCTACTTTTGAGTGCTTTATTTAAAAATAAAGTACTGAAATAGTTTATAACAAATTTATTAAACAGTAGAAACAGCAAACTTTTCGAAACGATTAAGAGCATAATTTTCAAAACAGATCTTTTTGGATTTGTATTATTTGAAGCAGAAAATGGAGGAAAAATAGGTGGTTTTGGAACCTTAGAAGCAGTAGTAGAAACATTATTTGCTAACTGGACTGTTTCCTTCTTTCAGTGTTGAGAGCACTGCTCTAAGACTAATCACAGCTTTGGGCAGCTCGGAAGTCCAACCGCAGTTCACACGGTTCCTCAGCGATCCCAAAACAGTTCTTTCAGGAGAATCAGAAGAACTCAACAGGGCTTTGATCTTAACTCTAGCAAGGGCAACACATGTGACAGGTAATAGCCGTACATCCAAGTAAAAGCTGTGGTCAAGCCATTTCTCTAAAATACTATTCAATAGAATATCATGGAAATGATCTAGTCATAAAACATATTCCATGCACTTCTGGTTTTGAAAGAAGTGTAATCTTAACTTGTAGCTACTTTTATTTAGGCAAGAAGCTGTTATTAAAACCGTAGTGAAATCAGACATTGTTTAAAAGTTTACACAGAGGTACCATATGACTGGGGTTTGGGGTTTTTTTACTGACTTATTTTTAGCTTCATTATTTTAAATTTAAATATTTGTATTGACTACTGATACATGCCATTTAGAAAAAAACCATAGAATATTCACAGCAACTGTACTGCTCATGTGGAAGCCTCTACAGCTTACATTTAAGAAAAAGTAGTGTGTGTTTTGGGTTTCCTTTCTTGGGGAAGGGAGAAGGGGAAGCTTCTGTGGTGTGTTTTAATGTTTTAACAATATGCAATGACATGGATCAGGTTTTTGTTAGCTTTGACGGGTATGTTTTCTCTCCTTTTTTATGATTCTAGTCTAGAAAGTCGCTGAAGAGTTAGAACAACTGATTCACAAAGACTGGTAGAGGTGATTTGAAAGGAAAAGGACTTCTTTGTGGGTTTTTTGTTTGTTTTTTTTTAACCATTTCTGAACCTTTAATGAAATCAACACAAGGGTTGGAGGAATGAGGCTTCTGTTTTATTTCTACTTAATTGGGACAGGTGCTTCTGAGAAGCCTTTTTAAAGCAATATAAAATCTCATCTGACAACTTCATCATCATTATCTTCCTCGGGATTTTAAAAAAAAAATCTAATCAGTTAATCAGCAGAAACTTATCTTGCTGCCATTACAGGAAATTAAATATAAAATGTTAAAATCATGATTGCTTTATTTCTAGCTCAAAACCTAAAAATAATTTTCTTATTGTTAATAGCATGAGAAAGGTAATATCCAGGTGGTTCTGTAGAGTAAATAAGAGTCAAAGAAAAGGGCTGGGAGAAGTTGGACAAAATGGAAACTGAGTTGAACTAGCAAAGCCTTGATGCATATGATGACAAAAGGAATACCAATAAGAAATGTTTTTTCTGTGAAATTCTAATATCATTGATCCATTTTCTAGATTTTTTCACAGGTTCTGATTCAATTCAGGGAACTTGGTGCAAGGACATACTGCAGACTATCATGAGTTTTACTCCACATAACTGGGCATCACATACACTAAGCTGTTTCCCAGCTCCTCTGCAGGTAATAGTTTAAAACTCATGATTTTATAACTGGAAACACAGTGAACTTACCCTCTTAACAACATCCTTTGCCTTTTGTGAGTTGGTGGGATTCTTCCCCTGTCTAGACTGCATTAATCTCAAGTACCTGAAGAATGCAGCATGATTGTGACATTGCTATTTCTTCAGAAAAGCATTAGCTTCCCCTGGAGTATTCTTAGGCTAAGTTTGGTCAACTGATACTTCTGGTGCAAGGCAAATCAGATGTTTTAAAAATTAAAAAAATAAAATAAAAAGTTGGAGAAGCCTTTTTTTCTGGCAGTTTGTCATGTTAGTGATGAAACAGTCACTATTATGTCACAGTGAAATAACAACCCTACCTAATAGGTTGTATTGTAAAAGGAAGTAAGAAGTCGTAAGAAAGTAAGAACTCTTAAAGTTTACCTGTTCAAATGTTGTTCTATAGGCTCTCAGTCACAGCAAAGCCTACTTTTTTCAGGTGTTCTTCAAGCAGAATAATGTACCTCAGGAAAGCCGCTTTAACCTGAAGAAGAATGTGGAAGAAGAATACCGAAAGTGGAAGTCTATGACCAATGAAAATGACATAATCACACACTTTTCTGCTCAAGGTTCATCTCCGCTTTTTCTTTGTCTCCTATGGAAGATGCTGTTAGACACTGATCACATTAATCAAATTGGCTTCAGGTGAGCTTAAAAGACATGCTGTTTCAAATTTATTACAGCAACATTCCCAGTTCTGAGGACACAGGCCTTCTGCAGTAACAGCTTGATTTTTTTAAATTAATTCAGAGCATGCAGAGCATGAAAAAAGAGAGTGGAGCTAGGTACTAGCCAGCATACTATAGTAATTGTGCAGTGTTTAAGATTGGTCTGCAATGCATATTTTTCCTGGTGAGAAACAAGGATATGACGTGTTTGAACTAATCAGTTTACTTGTAATAGCAGTGTTTCACACAATCTTAAATAGTAAACAAAATATAACACATTTATTTATAATTTACGCATGGATAAAGACCAAGTATTTTTTTAAAAACAAATGTTGGATTAAGATGAAAATTCATTATTGAAGTAGTAATCCTATGTTTTTTTTATTTGTTCTTGGTAGTAACAGCATCAGTTCCAGTAGTGAAAAGGATATTTATTTTTTTTTCAATCCTTGTTAGGTCTGTTGAAACAGTGTTTATGATAGCATGTGTTACTCTTCGGTGCATTGAGGAAATAGCGTACTAATGCTATGGCTGTAATAAAGTGCATACCATGGAAAAATGAAGTTTTGTTGCAGAAGATTGTCCTAAGAGGTGTATAACTAAAATTGCATAAGTAAAGCATGGGTTCTGGGCAGAATACTGCAGATGAAATTGGTAAACTTGAAGCATTTCTCCTGATTAGTATTCAGACTTTGGAATTCTGTTGTTTGGGTTTTTTTGCTTTGCTTTGGGGTTTTCTTCAATTAATTTAGTAAAGGGAGGGAGTTTTGTCTTTTTTTTTTTTAATAAGACAACTGTGTTAAAACCCACTAAGGTGTATCAAGTAGACCAGTTAAAAATATATTAATAACTGTAACAACTTGTTGTTGCCTTTTTTTTTTCTTTCTTTGTCTTCCCTGCTAGAGTGTTAGAAAGAATTGGGGCCAGAGCTCTGGTGGCACATGTCAGAACATTTGCAGATTTCTTGGTGTATGAATTCTCTACCTCTGCAGGAGGCCAGCAGCTCAATAAATGCATCGAGATTCTCAATGACATGGTGTGGAAATACAATATTGTAACGCTGGATAGGTTGATACTGTGTTTGGTAAGTATTGCTTCAGAAGATAAGATGACAGTTCTTCATGCAGTCTGCTTTCTGATTCACTTTCATAGGAGCAATCTTTTTAAAAATGCGTTGGTCTTAAATACTAGTTGCTAAACCAATAATCAAGTAAAATAATAGATTACTTCTTTAAGCAGTGTAAAATTCCAAGTCTTGTAGTTCTCTGAGCCTTCAGGAAAAGCATTTCTTGGTTATTTACTGGCAACCATTGAACTAGTATTACTAAGTGCCGTGATTAGTGATTTGGGTCTCTGACCTCAGAGCTGTGCAGTTATTTAGGCTCTGCAGGGGGATCTGGACAGGCTGGATCAATGGGCTGAGGCCAGTTGTCTGAGGTTTCAGCAAGGCAAAGTTCCAGGTCCTGCTCTTGGGTCACAACAACCCCGTGCAGCACTACAGGCAGTTCTGAGCCACTCACTACAAGACAGACACTGAGGTGCTGGAGCAAGTCCAGATAAGAGCAATGGAGGTGGTGAAGGGACTGGAGCACATGTCTTATGAGGAGCAGCTGAGGGAGCTGGGGCTGTCCTGGAAAAAAGGGACCTTATTGCTCTCTACAACCACCTGAAAGGAGATTGTAGCCAGGCAGGGGGCGGTGTCTTTTTGCAAGTCACAAACAATAGGACAAGATGAAACAGCATCAAGTTGTGCTAGGAGAGGTTTAGATTGGATATTAGGAAAAATAAGGGGGTCAAACATTGGGATAGGCTGCCCAGGGATGTGGTTGAGTCACCATCCCTGGAGGTATTTAAAAGGCTTGTAGATGTGGCACTGATGGTTTAGTGGTGGGCTTGGCAGTGCTGGGTTAATGGTTGGACTCAATGATCTTAAAGGTCTTTTCCACCCTAAATGATTCTATGGTCCTGTGATTTCTGAAGAAAGATAGAAGGGATATGGCATGCCATGATTAAGAAACAAATGGAAAATCTTGTAGCCATTAGTATATGCTTTGTTTAGAATTCAGCCTGTTTCATCATAAGGGAGAAATGATGTTCTCTATTTTTTCATGTTATCCTAAAAATAAAGCAGTATTTGCCCAGAGAGAACTAGATTTTCATCCAGTAATAATGCTTTAGGTATAATTTAAAACCTCACCTTAATGTAAAACTGTTTGTTTGAATTCTAGTTTGGTTTTCAAACTCAAGTCCAAACATATCAGAGTGGCCAAAGTTTGAAGCAATCTCAACTTCATTGTCATTAATCGGTTATTTTCAATAAGAGAACTGGCAGATAAAAGAGAGCTACAATTGTTAGAGAAAGTGCTATCACTAGGGAGTTTTAAGACTTTCTGCCTGTGGAATAAAGAATGGGATGAGGATTGAATCTATTGAAAAATAGAGTTGAAAGACCATATGCTCAGTGTGAATGTGTGTGTGGATGTACCTAGTGTGGCTAGGAAATGTGACTGCTGCGATGTTTAGGGCTATAAAGCAGACAGCAGTGTCAACTGTAATTTCATATTGTCTGATCCATTTTGTTTCAGGCTATGCGTAGTCATGAAGGAAATGAAGCTCAAGTCTGTTACTTCATAATTCAATTACTCTTATTGAAGCCTAATGATTTCAGAAACAGAGTGAGTGACTTTGTGAAGGAGAATTCTCCAGAACACTGGCTGCAGAATGACTGGCATACAAAGCACATGAGTTACCACAAGGTATCAAAGTTAATAGCATTCTTTTATTGTAATACTTTCTGTGGATGTGAGATCAGCCATCACTTACAGGTCAGCTTGATCAGTTTTTGGAGTTACCTAGTAAGCTGTAATTTGTTTAGGCTAGTGTAAAAATAATAAATTACTATATGTAATAACTTTAAAATTATAAAACAGTAATATTTGAAGAAAGAAACAGCTTAAGAATTGCTTGGAAGTTCATTCTTGCTTATCTAACTCAAATGATTTTAAAATCTTAGTTTTACTGAAATTCATTTAGAACAGAGCTTTTATGCATCAGGGAGAAGGTATTTCTTTCTAGTGTTTCATGACTATACCAATAGTTAAACCTATGTTTTCTTCTAATTATTAAAGCTTCTTCAGTCTTTTGTGTGGCAAGAACATGATAGCCTGATATGTTAGGGAAGAAAATTGCTGAGATTTTAATGCCGCTGTAACTGTACTGGCTTCTGCTGGCTAGAAAAGGATGTACCAATGGACTGTTCTGTCAAAAACGAAATGAATGCTGAGATGGAACAGATACAAGCAAACTCTCATGTAACTTAACACATGCCATCTAGTTCTGCTCCAGAAGCTATTTGGTCTATATTAGCCCTCTGCCTTAGCCATACAGTGTTTTAACAGGTAAAACGTCATAAGCTCAGTAGTACCCATCTGTTATTTGTGTACACTCCAGTTCATTCCCAGGGAAATTATTCTATGCATATTATTTCTGGTGTTCTAATTCAGTATATGATGCAGAAAATTTCAGTAGTGCTGATTTCCCCCAGGTTTCCTCTTGAAGTACTTAACAAAGGACAGTTAAGTGCTGGCTGCTTCCAGTTTTGTCTTGATATGCTTAGTGTTCTTTTATGCTCATTCTGAGTGGTGGTGAAATTTTGTTTTGTGTTTTGTTTTTTTTTTTAAGTTGTTATCTACTAGTCTAATAACTGATTTCAGTCAGAGTTGAATTTTCTTCAGTAAGCTTTACAGTGAAATCATCTCATTGAATTCAAATGTGATAAGAAGAGGATTATGAAGTGTCTTTTTTAAAGCAATATAGATGCTGAATGTTTAATCCATTGCTTCTAGGGAAAGAGATTTAGATTTTGTTGGATTTCTTTCCCTCCAGAAATATCCTGAAAAACTTTATTTCGAGGGCTTGGCAGAGCAAGTCAATCCACCAGTTCAGATCCAGCCGCAGTACTTACCAATTTATTTTGGAAATGTATGCCTGCGCTTTCTGCCAGTGTTTGATATTGTAATTCATAGATTTCTGGAATTGCTTCCAGTGTCTAAATCACTAGAAACTTTATTGGATCATCTGGGAGGTTTATACAAGTTTCATGGTAAGTTATCCATGAATACACACAGATATATTCTTGTTGCAGTCATTCTATTCTCCTTCATCTCCTTCACTCATAATTTTCATGTACTAGCACAGCAGTGTTTTATTCCTTTCGTATTCTGTAAACCCTGTGTACATTTACACAGAGAGGTATATTCCCTGTTTAGTGAATTTCAGCTTACTAACAGTGAACTTGCTTTAAATCAGGTATCTCTTGCTAATTCATGCTTCCTTCACACCTTTCCCTTTCATTCCCTTCTAGCAGTAAGTACTTGGACTGATGTCCTAACAAACTTTCTGTTACCAAGACTGAAACAATTGAAAAGCAGTTCCTCTCTTTATCCTTACTTAAGATTCAAATAACTTTACCTGATTTTTTTAATGCTTTAATAACTACACTGTTATAATAAGGTCTTTTTTTATAGATATTGTTGCTATGTTATGCTCAGACAATTTACAATGTTCTTTCTTTACTGTGACTTCATGCCTGAATCCTTCCTATTTTATATGAAGAGATGATTTAGTTGGTTTGTTTACAAATATATTAATATTATCATTAAGATGTGAACAGTTAGTAATACTGATCTTCTTTGTTCCATTTCTTTTGTTCTGCAAACACATTAAAGTATGTACAAGACAAAGGAAGATCGGTTTTTTAGAGTATATTGAAATAAAGAATGTGAATCAATTCCATATGTGCTGCTCTTAAATACATACAACTTAGTCTTGTATAGCTCTTGGTTTTAGTTTTATATTTGCCACCATAAACATAGAGTGATGCTAGAAATTATTTCTGGTTTTTGCTGTTTCCATTTTCTTCTTGGCAGACCGACCAGTGACTTACCTGTACAACACTCTTCACTATTATGAGGGGCATCTTAGAGAGCGCACAAACCTCAAGAGAAAACTTGTTCATGCCATAATTGGCTCTCTCAAAGATAATCGCCCTCTGGGCTGGTGCCTAAGTGATACCTACCTCAAATGTGCTATGAATCCCCGAGAAGAAAATCCATGGGTTCCTGATGACACTTACTATTGCAAGCTCATTGGAAGACTGGTAGACAATATCCTTCTGAAAGTTTGCATTAAGTCAGCTATGACAATTTTTTGTAGCTTCATTTCATCAAAATATGAAGTTCAATTCCTGTCTGTTCAGATGTGAAATAAAGCTTGGAGTCATTATTTAGCTGCATATATCAGTCTAAATTCATATTAGATTACTTCCATGTACCTTATTATTCTACACAAGGACTGTGTTGCCCTAGTAAACATCTTGAAAGATATGGGGAAAACAAAGTACAGTACAACTATATAAATATTTCACTGTTTAAAGCATCACATGGAAATACAATTACTGATGTTTATGCATTCTGAATTGACTTCTAATTGCCACAAAAAAATAAGCTTGGTGCAAAGCATAAGTATTTAAAAAAATTGCCTAAAATGAGCTTGCTGTTTTCCAATGCCGTTATCAGTATTACTAAGAATGAAATATTGGAAGCAGTGACACATTTAAGATAGTATATAACTAGCTGTGTCTAGTTGAAGCTTGATATATGTGCTGTTAAAGACTGCTGAGAATCTGTTTTTTAAGAAGGAAAAGATAGAAGTTATTTAACACAAACCTATGTTTTCTTAATTACTGCCTGTTATTAATTTTTGCCATTATGACTAGAGCTGATGTTAAGTTCTATGGGAATAGTTGGCAAACTAGAGGACAGCACTACTGGCATCTCCCTGGACTTTGGCTTCTTTCTGGAGCAGCTTTACAAGAGTTGACCAGTTTTGGGGATTTTATGTGTTCCTTCACTTTCCTGAACTTCCCTTTCTTTGATATGTAACTTGAAAGAAGTTTATTTGGTCTCTCCAAAGAAATCTAAAATGACATAAACCTCTGCTTTTATGCAAATGTTAACCGTGTTTAGAGACTCTTCTGTATGTAGTTCAACTAAGTCTTGTTTGGGAAAGTGGAATATTTTCAGAGATAAGCAGGTGGTCCTTTTACATAAAGTACATAAAGAAGTCTGATAGAGGATCTTACAGAGAGGCAAATTAATGGTTTCTGATTATGCAGAATAGAAAATCCCTGATATTTTCATTTTCTCATCTTGGAAGCAGAGAGTGAATGAGGTGGTTGGTGTTGTTTTTTCCAACCCCTTAATTGGGGAACTTTATCCTTTGCATGGCCTTGTGTGTGTAATATATTTATAGCTATGTATTCATGCAGTCCTTCAGTGGTTGAGTATCAGTATCTCATATTGATACTTTTGTTCTATATCTCTTATTTTTTATGAAGTGCGGTTGTTCTACTTATTTCAGTATCCTTCAGTTCAGTTTAGTATGTGGTATATGCATTGGTTTTGTTTTTTGGTTTTTTTTTAATCAGTGTGCTGCTTATACTAGTCTGTGTTGGGTAGGTTTTTTTTCCTTAATCATTGTCACCTATGGCAGGCAAATCACCTGGTCCATTTCCAAATTGTGACTGGAGATTCAATGAGTTTCCTAACCCAGCTGCCCATGCTCTGCACGTTACCTGTGTTGAGCTTATGGCTCTGGCTGTTCCAGGGAAGGAGGTGGGCAATGCTCTACTGAATGTTGTGCTGAAGAGGTATGTTGGCTCTCTGAAATAGTTTCCTGCAATATATCATACATAATTAGAGATTGCCAAGGTAGTCCATGATACTAATTTTTTTTTTTAAATTGTTAATTAAGTGTACATAGGTTAAGTTTTATATGTATAAAGCATTTTTGGATGACAAACAAGGCTACAGGGGTCAAGCAGAAAAATCACGTGTTAGATTGCTGTAGTGGATTGTGTGTGCTTCAGGAACAGTTGACTTGGCATGATGCCCATAAAAGTTAGAGGGAAGACCTCACCCAGATGAAGGTCTTATCCTTGGGGTTCAGAAGCGGAGACTGGAAAAAGTGTGTTGTTCTTTCAGCTATGCTGAAAGGAGGACATTTCATCAGTTAACGTCACAGTATCTTTGAATGCAAAGAAAGGGGCAAGAAGCATTGGCAGAACTTTGAATCCTCCAGATGCTAATGTAAATCAGAGGTATTTTGAAACAGTGGTGTGCCAAGGCTAGCCTTTTGCCATGATGCGTTAAATTTGACCCATAGCTCTGTTTCTTGCTCAGCCACTGTGAAAAATACTGTAGTGAAAGAAAGGACCTAGTATTCTTGTAGTCATTCAGTTGACACCTTTGAGCAATGACAGACTGAAATGATTCGAATTTGGCCTCATTCAGCTTAGTAATATTTTATTGTTAGCTCTGTTTTGGACACGTGGAGGGAAGGAGTCAATAAAGGAACAAACAAACCTTAAGCACTAAAGCTTAAGGAAGAAAGATTGTAGGCCTTGAAGGAAACCTGCTACTAATGCAAAACGTGCCCAAACAAAGTTTTGCACACAACATCACAGTAGCATTTATATCATCTTCTGGCTTTTCTAAATACCTGTTTATGTTTTTATAGGTCTCTCAGCTAGAGAAATACTCTTTGCCTTTAGATGCACGAGAAACACAAATTGCAATTGTGTATTTTCAGAGCTTTCATTTTCTTTTTTCTTTATCTCTAGTCAGCCCCTGGTACCAAGAGAGAACATCACAGCTTGGATGAATGCAATTGGACTAATTATCACAGCCTTACCAGTGAGTCAATATGTTGTATTTTAAACTAAAAAATATCTTCTTCCATGAAAGGTTTATCATCTTCCTAGAATATGCTGTAAAAACGTATAACTAACATCTGTAGATTCCACAAAGAGCTAGTCAGAAGGCTGTGTGCGTGTTTGAGAAACATCTACTCCTCCAGCATGGAAAAATTGACCATTTTTTTGTTTTTTCTGTTAATTTTTGGGGCTAGAATGAAAAGAAGTAAATCACTTCTATTTAAATATATAGCTAAATGCGGTGTGTGTAGTATTGAGAACTGGAGCAATGTAATAAGAAAATCTATAAGGGTTCTGATGCCAAGCTATTTTTTTATTAATACCTGCATTTTCACATCCTGTAGTTCTTAAACCATGTAAATGAGATGTGCCTAAGATTGCAAAAGGAAACGTGTGCAGTACTATAGTTCGTGTATCATTAGGAACTTTGATCTTCTGAATATCATGACTCTTGATACCTGACCAAGACTACACGATCTTGTGTACCTCTTGCTTATATGTGCCACAACTATCCTTTCCTTGTGACTTCTCTTCTGCAATAAAATGGCTCCTCTTCTTGGAAAGAAGCCAACATGGATTTAATCCTTATTATTTTTTTTTATTCTTCCTGTTCCCTCTCCTTGCATCTTCATCTATAGTCTTTGCCTTTTGTTATTCCTGTTTTCATATTGTTTTTTTGGTCTGTTTGTGCCTGCACTCAGAAGACTAGAAAATTCTCAGTCCCCTTCCATTAAGGTTTTTTGCCTCTGCTTTGCTTCTTTTGGAGACCTTTATAATAGCTGATTAAACAATTAAATTCATTAGATGTGTCTTGATTGTGCCACACTCTTGAATGTGCCATACCTGCTAACACAGATGCTTTCTGTACTGTGCTGCTTCAGTTTTCATCTTTGTCAGATGTGGTTATAAACTACCATGTTGTTTATAACATTTATATATATACACATTTTAGAAATGCAATAATAGTAGAAAGAGCTGAGGAAACATTATCTTAGATAGTGTTCTTAGTGTTCTTTTTAGAAGCAATTCTGACTTTTTTGTTTGGGTTGTTTGGTTTTTTGGTTTGTTTTGTTTTTTTTTTTTTTTTTGTACATGTGGTTTTTTTGTTTGTTTGGGATTTTTTTTGATTGTTTTATTTTGTTTTGTGTTTTTTTTCCCCCAGGAGCCATACTGGATTGTTCTCCATGATTGCATTGTGAATGTTATCAACAGTCCCAGCTTGACATCAGAGACAGAGTGGGTTGGTTACCCATTCCAGCTGTTTGACTTCACGGCATGTCACCAGTCTTATTCTGAGATGAGCTGTAGCTACACTTTGGCCTTGGCACATGCTGTCTGGCATCATTCTAGCATTGGACAGCTCTCTCTCATTCCTAAGTAGGTGTAATGGTATTTGATCAATGATTTGTCTTTTGAATTCCGTACATATTGTAGATGACAAAACTCTACCTGAGAGCACTTACACCAGCAGATAAATATGTACAGGAGAGCTCTGAAATTCTCCAGATGGGTCACAAGTTTTTTCCAGCTCCCTCTTCCACTGACATAACTCCTGTTGTCTGTGGGCTTCAAGGCTATCATATAAAGTGTGACTGTTTTTAATGAGCCTTTTTTATCCTCATTAGCTTTTATGCTTTTATTAATTTGAATTTTTCTGAAAGTATTAACTGTAGCATATTCCCAAAGCATCAACTGTAACAGTAAATGTTATTCTTAATTCTAGAGCATCCCTGAAATAACTAATGTTTGAAATAACTAATATTTGTGGAGTTACACTGTTTTTTCTAAAATAAAGGCCTATATCTGTGAAAGAGAATGTGATGTTTTGGCTAGAATTTAGGGCAGGGGAAGGAAGAAAAAAAACCAAAATAAGCAAAAGCTGAAGTAGTAAATGTCTTGACATACTGCAGGTTCCTCACAGAATCACTGATACCCATAGTGAAAACAGAGTTCCAGTTGCTCTACGTTTACCACCTTGTTGGTCCTTTTCTGCAACGGTTCCAGCAGGAGAGGACACGATGCATGATAGAGGTAAAGAGTAGCTTGTGGTCTGCTTTATATGGTACATATTATTTTAGCTTTGCAATTATATTACAAAGCAGAATATGGTCAAAATCTTTAATAAATATTTGCAATTAAATTCTCTATGAATTAAACAGTAATTGCAAGAATCTGAATTGCTGAGTTGGTATTCAGCCTACCCAGTTAACTGAAATCTTATTGGATAAAACACCTAGAACTTTTTTTTTTAAACAAGGAAAGAAATACAGCCCAAAAAATATCAAGCAATACGTGCTTTCTTTGGCTCTCAAACTGCATGCAAAATATGCATCAGACTTACTGCCTGTTTTAAAACCCCTGTGCATTGTAAGGAAGTGGGCAAGAGCTGAATTGTGAGGATGGAGGTACATAAGCTGTTTCTTACATTCAAGTCAGTGTGAATAAGGGTAGGGGAGGAGAAAAGAGATAGAGCTGGCCAGTAGGCAGATGACCTGAAAAGTGTCATATTGCAAACACTCTTCTAGAAAGAAAAGCTTAACTTGGGAATCATTTAGTTAAGCATAATGGGATGGCTTAGATCTGCCCATTTGTCCTTGTAAGAAAATGAATTGATAGGAATCGTAGATACCTGAAAAGCAGTACATATTTATTATACTGTTTAACTGTATTTCTACTCTGAAGCATTTTAAAAATTACTTTCATTTGGGCTGTTCTTTGTGTCCGTGGAAACAGATTGGAGTGGCGTTTTATGAAATGCTCCTGAATGCAGATCGGTACAGCTCCCACCTGAACTACATGGATCCTATATGTGATTTTTTGTATCATATGAAGTATATGTTTACAGGTGATAGTGTGAAAGACCAAGTAAGTAAACAGTAGATATTGATACATTATTAATCTTTCTTCCCATATAGTAACTTAACCTTTTTATAAATTGTTTTCATAGGTAGCAGTACAACAAATTGCTTAACAGTTGACTAGATCTCTATAGACAAATTAGGAAGTTGGTGCACTTCTACTAACTTAAAAACTTCAAATGCAGTAGACTAGGTATCTCAGATTCCAAGATTAATTTATGTAGTCCAAAATTTAAAATACAGCCTTAGGGTGCTTTAAATACTATTATTAAAACAGTCGCTAGAAATAAAGCTATTGGATGTTTCATAACATTTCCTCATTTCATTCTATATCTTCTAAGTTTTTACGTAATTTCTGATTAATTACTGTATCTTCACATGTTACAAAAGCAGGACTGCATCCACATCCACATTCAGGGAAAAATCAATTGTGTTACTTGTTTTACAGAGCTTTGGTGTCTAACTGTTACAGCAGGGAGGGGTTTTTTAAGGTTAGTTGTCAGAAGAGGTCCAAAAGTTAGCATGATTAATAAAATATTAATGTAAATAACTCTATTTACTATATATTTTTCCATTTTTTGTTGTGCTGATGTGATGTTTGTGTACAGTAGTGACACATAAAAATACTCCTGTTTTTTACCGAATGCTTTTTTTTTTTTTTTTATAACAGGTTGAGAAAATAATTTGTAATTTAAGACCTGCTTTGAAACTTCGGTTACGCTTCATAACACACATCAGCAAAATGGAATCAGCTGCTGTTGCACAACCACCTCTCAGTAATGGGTCACCAGCACAACAGCCCAGCCAAGTGCCTGTCAATGTTGCTTTGCCAGTAACCCAGTGAAATGAAGTGTTTGGCTGACCTTGATGTGAAGGCTTCCTTCTGTTACTGACCAAGGTGAAACCTCATCTGATCTGGAATCTTATGTGCTTTATAAAAGGAAGGAGAACCATGTGCAGATTTCTGCTTTGATTTCTTTTGCATCATGAAGCTGCCTATCACTGTGCGTGTCAGTCTTCTTAGCTATTTATGCTAGACACTATATGAGGTCTGTGTTGCCTTTCTCTGAAATCATTGAGTAACACTTCTCTGCAAACAAATACATGGACTTCTGAAGAGTTTACCATATTCTGCTCCCTATCTGAGATTGAGTCATGTGGATTTTTCCTTTTTTCTACCTGTAATAAGAAAGGACACTCAGTGTGTGTAGCCTGGTAAAAAATGGCCTTTTAAAATTTGAGTTCTGCCTTATTTTCTATTTTTTAGTCTAGCAGAAGAATTTAAATTCTTTTTGTCTTTTGGGCAGACAACTTAAGCCCTTATACATAAACACTCCTAGACAGAGATTGCCTCAATTTTATTGAGTTAATTATGACATCTTTACAAAGACTAGGAATGAACCTTTGAAAATATTTGTAAATTTTGTACATATAGATTACATTAAGCACACAAGCAATGGATTTGATCTAGTGTCAGTTACTAGACTGTTAGGTTACAGCCCAGAGGCTGTCTCTAATGAATCTATTGGAAGTCTGCATATTCAATTCCAGCTGCACTGGTTCATATTCGATGTTTCCTATTGGAGGAGGGTGTAGTTTTTATTAAGTCAATCAGATGAATTTTATTGATCTTACCGTATTTTGGATTTGTATAATATTCTACTGTAAGGTTTATGTGTACTGGGCTCAGCAGGTTTTGATAACAGAATTGAAAGGCTCAATGTTTTGTAAATACTCATCTTTTTGGACAAATTTTTAATTAAAAAAAACTTTAAAATTCCATTTTAGTATTTTTAAGCGTATTTATTTTCCATACCTGTTACCTTAAAAATAAGTATTGACCATAGCAAATATACTTCCGTGTTCCAGGTTCTCTGTCAGCTGTACATTAATGACAGCTTTAACCTGTTACAAATAGAGTCCAGATTGGTAAGCTCAGGTCTGATTTATATCTCTCTGTAAAAATTTAAGTTACAAAAAGGAGCTGTTGATTTAATGGGTGGAAGGGTTTTTTTCTGCTGTCATTTGTATTGTAATTGGATCCTAAATTCTGCCAAGTGTATTTGAGTAGCAGAACTGTGAGTGCTCTTTAATGAATTTGTAGTCTGACAGGAAGACACATTTGCCTATGTTTGCTGTATCCTGGCAGCTGGTCACACCTGGGCTCAGTGCTGAGGCCAGTCCTGCGTAGTATCTATCACTAATCTGGACAAGCGGATCGAGGGCACCCTTAGTCAGTTTGCTGACAACACCAAGTTTGGTTGGAGTGTTGATCTTCTGGAGGGCAGGAAGGCTTTGCAGAAGGATCTGGACACGCTGGATTGATGGTCTGAAGCCAGTGGTGTGAGTTCAATAAGGCCGAGTGTGGGGTCCTGCACTTGGATCACAGCAACCTCATGCAAGTGCTGCAGGCTTGGGGAGGAGTGGCTGGAAAAATGCTCTACAGAAAAGGGCCTGGGGGTGCTGGTCAACAGCCAACTGAACATGAGCCATCAGTGTGCCCAGGTGGCTGAGAAGGCCAATGGCATCCTGGCTTGTATCAAAAATGAAGTGGCCAGCAGTACTCGGTAGGATATTAGGATACAAGTGTGCCAGTAGTACTCAGCACTGGTGAGGCTGCACCTTGAATTCTGTGTTCAGTTCTGGGCCCCTCACTACAAGGAAGACATTGACATGCTGGAACGTGTCCAGAGAAGGGCAGTGGAGCTGGTGGAGGGTCTGGAGCACAAGTCCTATGAGGAGAGGCTGAGAGAGCTGGAGTTGTTTAACCTGGAGAAAAGGAGGCTCAGGGTAGACCTTATTGCTCTCTACACCACCTGAAAAGAGGTTGTACCCAGGTGGGGGTCAGTCTCTTCTCCCAAGTAACAAGTGAAAGGACAAGAGGAAATAGCCTCAAGTTGTGCCAGAGGAGGTTTAGATTTGATACTAGGAAAAATTCCTTCACTGAAGGGTTGTTCATGCATTGAAATACACTGCCTAGGGAAGCCGTTGAATCACCTCTAGAAGTGTTCAACAAGCATGTGGATGTGGCACTTGGAGATACGGTTTAGTGGTGAACACAGAAGTGCTTGGTCAAAGGTTGGACTCGATGATCTTGAAGGTCTTTTCACCCCTGAATGCTTCTATGATTATGTGTTTGGTTTTGAACATCCTATATTCCATTTTGGAGCCAAGTCACTCTAATGCCATTAGACTTGATTTTGATAACAAGATGAACATAGCTGATCTCCAAAAATCTAGTGAACTGTTCTGTACAGGCCTTCCCATAGGCTTTCTGGGCAGACCTGAGATGCAATATTATGGTTGTGGGTCTGCAAATTTCTGTCAACAGTGAGACTTCCTTTCTTCCTAAACAGTTTTTGGAGCACATTAATAGAAAAGCGTGTAGAAACACGCTGTTTCATGGCTGTTCTGCATGTGTGTTCTAACTGAGCATCTTTCTGAATTGTCTTATTTGATATTGAAATAATTTTGGTGCTTTATGTGGGACCCAGAGTATCCCTTTTAATATTCAAACTAGCACCTGTTTTCAGTCACTGGGATTTCGGGCGGTATTGGGGAAGTTGAATAGCTGTCTTCAGAAACCAATTATGAGAGCTGTTGGAATTCTTTAAAGCTCCCTCATTCCGCTTTGTGTCCTTGCCAAATGTACAGTAATGTTAAGAACCTGACTCTGGTGCACCAGTCTGGCACTATGTGGATGGGATTTGCCTCAGGTGAACTGGCACTGGCAAATCATCAAAAAAGCTGTGTTTCATCAATACTGGACTACATTTGAACTTTGACTTATAGCTTAAAGGATGTACATCCCACTAACAGTGCTATGAATCAGGACCCTTGCTTACCTAGTAGGATTAGTGATTTACATGTTTTACGTGTTCAAAAATGCAAAGGGAAGACTGTCTCTTCCTCTCAACATGCATGTACTCTTTCTCTGCAAAACTCACCAGGTTTCTGAAGGTGCTCGCTAGTTGGAACAAGGTGTCTCTTTAGCAATAATCTACATTTGCATCTTTAGCAATACTAGTCTAAAAATTAATCCTTAATAATTCTTGCTTTCAGTTAAATGTCTTGCCATTTAAAACCCACCTAACCAAATTCACTTTCTAAAGTGCTAGCACAGCAAAACAAAATTCCAGTGTAATTTCAGAAGTGTTTGTAATTGATTATGGCTGTCATATGGTTGGTTTTTAAAATTCCATATTGTGTTTGTCAGTCCGCTGGAACTCAAAGTAGTTGTGAGTAGTGAGGGGTAACATAAATCTGAGGTTTAGGTTTTGGCTTTTGGTTTTTTGTTTTGTATTCCAAATCATAGGTAGCCAGTATGGAATAGACACAATCATACCAGTCTTCCTTCACCTCATCTGACTCTCATGTAGCATATTGATTAAGTAAGATTTGAACAGTCTTTTCTAATATGACTGACTGAGTCAGTAGATTCCTAAACCTAAAAAAACCCAGATTTAGATTAGGGAAGATTTGAATTCTCTTTTTTAGCCACCAGAGGGAGATTTCTTCAAAAAATTTGATCTGATTGCAGTTGATTGTGAGTATAATGCAACATACTGAACACTCAGATCTTCCTTGGAACTACCAACATTTCGATCCAAGATTTGACAACTTAGAGGCCGTATTACACTGTTATCCTTGATGTTTGAAACATGTTTTGTTTGTCTTCCTCATAAATTTACTGGAGGACTCCACAGAGCTATGGGATTTGCAAAATCTTCCAAACAAATACAAAGATTTTTAGTCTTTTAAAATGTGTCAGATTATTTTTTTTAAAAGCATTGATTAATGCAACAGCTACCAGAGCCAGAGTTGATGACAGATTTTTATACTTGATCACCTAAAAAAAAAAAAAAAGGCAATAGATGACAGCCTTATGATTTTTAGCATTAAGACTTTTTAGGACATAAAAGGATATTTGTGGCTTGGCAGGCTGTACCTGAAATTGTGCAGCCTTTTCTGAAGGTGGACCAAACAATGGATAATATCATTGTAAATGGTTGCTTTGGCTGTTGAATTAACTTTCTTGTGACTCTCCACAAGATGAGTTTACCCCCACCACACTTGTTGTTGTAAGTAATCTTACAATAATGAATGAATAGCTGAATAAAACGTCTACGTAAGTTTCAGTAGCAGTACCTTCTGCTACTCTAAAAGGCGGTGAATGTTTTTGGCTTTCCCTGTGCATTTCTTCCTTCAGCAAATACAAGTGCAGTAGGGCGTGAACTTCTTTGTCTAGTTTAGGATCCAGAAATCCAACATGGAGAGGTTCCCATCCAGCTCCCCTGTCTCTTCGCTTGCACATCTGCTGTGAGCCATGATCAGAGAGATACCACTGTGCTTCTGCGTCCTTTCTTCTAATCTTTTCTATCAAAAGAAAGATTCTTTTTTCTTTTTTTTTTGGTGGGGTGTCTTTTTTTCCTTTTTCTTTCTCTTTCCTGTATGACTGTTCTATATAAGGTTTCGTGAACTGTATTGCTGTCCAGGTCTGGTCCTTCACCTCATTAGTGTTTCACACAGAAACCTTCTATGACTTGATGGTGTGCATCTGATGTCAGATTTAATAGGAGTGAGTTGTTTTAAAGGTAAGTGGGCACCTTCTAATATTTTTCTGCTGAAATGTGAGGGAATCTTCCGTCCTGGTGAGAGGAACGCAGTGGGTTTCTGTCAGCCATCAAAGGCAGAGGATTTTTAGTTCTGCCACAACCCCAAGCAGGCCCAGGCTGCTTTATAGTTTAACTTTTAATTAAAAAGCTGAAAAGCCCTTCCACCTAATTGCCCCCACATCAGTGCTGCACGAGAAATTCTTAAGGAACCCAGATGCCTTTGAAGCATAAAGCTGAGCTGCATGAGGAAGGAGAGACTGAGGGAGGCCATGCAGGCACAGGAAGAAACCCCAACATTAAATAGTTCCTAGATATATAATTTGCACATTGTGCAGGGCTCTGATCATATTATTGTCCTAGAAATAAATTGAAAGTTTGATGTTCCAGATTTACAGTGAGGCTCCATTGATTTTCACTCATGAGAAGAGCTTTGTAGATTAATGTAAAGCTTTGGGCCAGATTTGTTTATTGAAGATTTGGGAGGGTGATATTTGTGTTTGGAAAGTGAAAGCAGAAAACACTGGTGCAATAACAAATTACAGTTGGCTGACATTGGAATTCAAGAAAGAAATGTGGGAAAAAACCAAACAAATAATTTCTCTGTAGTAAAGCTGCTGCTTTTTATTAGAGGTAGGACCTACCTGGGGACTGAAACACAGCTGTGGGACTGTAGGCCCAGAAATGCAAGGTGATCCTCATTTGCTGTGGGCTGAGCCAAGTTAAATCAGCCTGCACATCCAGAAGAGCATAGTCACTCTCAGATTTCTTCACCACATGTATGAACCAAGTTTCATATGCTTCATATTTTTATGGTCTGCACGAGTATGGATTTTGGACACATCTCTCCTTAATGCATGTCTCTGTAATGTTGGGGACCTGGGAGGGAATGTTGTTCCATCTGTGATGTTGGAAGGGGATAGGCTAAGGCTTGCATTGCATTCCCTGGAAAATGTGGGATAAAACAAGCTGCAGATGACGTCACACTTGGATTAGCTGTTAGAGCATTTGTTCTTCCTCTCCAGTACTGGACATAAGGCACAAGGCAGATGAATGAGACTGAACGGGTTGTTTGGTTGGAATTGCATTAAAGAAGCAATTGGGAGCGCAAGCAATGTTGGGGTCCTTCTGGAGCCAGAGGAGAGATGGCTTCAAGCCTCTAGGGTTTGG